GGGTTGCATGTGGCGAGTAAGCTGCCACATAACCCCCCTGGTTGTTTTTAAGCCCCTTCGAAACGGACTGGTAGACGTGATATTCGTCCGCTTCTCGTCCTTTGCTCTTTTGGCTGTTCCGGGGTTTGTGTTACTTTGATTTGCTCCGGTTCTTCTTGCTGTAGAGTATAAGCTGGCTTCAGCCTATCTACTGATACGTTGACGGATCGTCCCTTGATTCGTAACTTAAACGTCTTTTCCCCTCTGCTGAGGACTTGGTAAGGCCCGTCGTACGGAAGTTGCAAAGATCCTTTTGGAGCGTCGTGTCCCAGGAAAACTTGTTGCGTTGTAGCCAAGTCTTTATATATAAAAGTGGCTTTTTCTCCGTGTCTTCTGAGCTTCGGCTGCAACTTCTTCATTATGTTTTTTAAACCTTTTGTGAAGTCGTCCGGATTGTTATCTTCGTTGCTGGTTTCGTCGAGGAATTGTCCAGGTAATCGGATTGGTTCCCCGTATACCATTTCGGTTGGGGTAGCTTTCAAATCTTCTTTCCACGCGGCTCTTATGCCCATCAGTACAACAGGCAATATTTCTACCCATTTTTGTGTCTGATGACTCTTGATGGCCGTTTTTAATTGACGATGAAATCTTTCTATCATCCCATTTGCTGCTGGATGATACGCTGTCGTGCGAAGATGTGCTGACCCTGTTATTTTTGTTAAATTGTTGAATAGCTCTGATTCGAATTGTCGCCCTTGGTCTGTGGTGATCCGTGCTGGCGTTCCGAATCTTGCTATCCAATTCGCAAATAACTCTTTTGCTACTGTTTCTGCCGTGATGTCTGGTATGGGTATTGCTTCTGGCCATCTTGAAAATCGATCAATTATTATGAGGCAATATTTGTATCCCATAGATGTTGGCATAGGTCCCACAATATCCATGTGGATGTGTTGAAATCGTCCTGTGGGCGCTAGGAAATTTCCCGTTGGCGTTACCATGTGTCTGAACACTTTGGCTTTCTGACACTGTTGACAGGCTTGTGCCCACACTTGACAATCGTGCTGTATGTCCGGCCATACATATTTCTGTTTTATCAGTTTCGTGGTGGCCTTTATCCCCGGATGTGACAAACCATGCAGGGCTTGGAAAACCTGCTGTCTAAATGGCTTAGTCACGTAAGGACGTGCGACTGCTGTCGATGTATCGCAGTATAGTGTCAATTCTGAGCCTGGTATTCCAATTTCCTTTATCTTGAGGGACGATTGAATGTTGCCTTCCAAAATTTGTTTAAGCTCTTCATCTTTCCGTTGCGACTTTGCCAGCTCTTCGAAGTCCGGTGCCTTCTGTATTGCTTCCACGCGAGATAATGTGTCTGCGACTACGTTGTCTTTCCCGGCCAAATACCGGATATCTGTCGTGAATTGTCCGACAAAATCCAAGTGTCGAGCTTGTCTTGGAGAGCTGCGTAGTAAGTCTTGCTGGAAGGCGTATATTAACGGTTTATGATCCGTGTATATTGTGAATTTCCGTCCTTCCAATAAATGTCGGAAATGCTTAACCGCTGTGTAAATTGCCAAGAGCTCTCGGTCATAAGGGCTATATTTTGTCTGCGCCCTATTTAGCTTCTTGCTCATAAATGCTAGCGGTTGCCATTCTCCGTTTAACTCTTGTTGTACCACTGCTCCGAGTGCGGTGTCGGAAGCGTCGGTGGTCAATGTAATTGTGGCTTCGGTTTTTGGATGTGCCAAGAGTGTGGCCTTTGCAAGATTGTTCTTGCAATTTCGGAAAGCCTCTTCCAACTGTGGCGTCCATTCTATTGGAGTTTTTCCTTTCATTTTTGGTCCTCGTAGAACGTCATGTAACACTGCTTGGTCTTTTGCTGCTCCAGGTACAAATCTTCTGTAGAAGTTGATTGTACCCAAAAATTGTCTCAACTGTTTTATGGTTTCAGGTTTTTTGAAGTCTTGGATGGCCTGAACCTTTTCGGGCAATGGGCGAGTCCCCTCTGTTGACACCAAGTATCCCAAGAATTTTACTTGTGACTCTCCGAAGTGACATTTGGCCGGGTTTATTTGTGTGCCGTATGCGTTGAGTCGAGTAAATACCTCCTCCAGGTGCTTCAAGTGTTCTTCTTCTGTGCTGGAGGCGCTCAGGATATCGTCGATGTACGCATAGCAGTAATCTAAGCCATGCAGTATCTCGTTTATAAACCTTTGAAAGGTTTGTGCCGCGTTTCGAAGGCCGAATGGCATGTACCGAAACTCAAAAAGTCCGAATGGTGTGGTAATTGCTGTTTTGGGGATGTCGTCCGGATGCACCGGGATTTGATTATATGCTCGTATCAAATCCAGCGTAGAGAAAATATTCTTTCCGTTTAACGAGTGTGTAAAATCCTCGATGTGCGGTATGGGGTACTGATCAGGTATTGTTCTCGCGTTGAGTTTTCTGTAATCCCCGCAAGGTCTCCAGGTATTCTCCTTTTTGGGAGCCATATGTAATGGTGCGGCCCACGGGCTTTTGGAAGGCTGGATAATCCCTTCTTCTAATAGGAGATTAAATTCTGCCTTTGCTGCCTTTAATTTATCGGGTGCTAGCCTGCGTGGTCTGCATGCTTCTGGTGGACCACTCGTGGTCTTAATGAAGTGCATGGTTGAGTGCGGCTGCTGCTGTTGATGTCTCCCTGGGGATTGTGTAATTTTGGGGAACCGTGCCAATAATTGATGATAGGGAGTGTTTCCTATCAAGGATTTTATTGACGAAAGTTCCTTTCTATTTGCAGTCCCATTTGCTTTGAGTCCTGTTTTTGCGTCGACTAGTTGACCTTGCTTCATGTCCGGTAGGAGATGAAAATGAGCGAGGAAATCGGATCCTATTATTGGGGTAGTTACGTCGGCTACCATAAAGCGCCACGGAAAAGCACGGCGTAATCCGAGATTAGGTTTTAAAGCAATGAACCCGTATGTTGATATGGTAGATCCGTTTGCAGCGAAGAGTACATGTGAACTAGATGGTCGTCGTCCTCGAATCAATGTTCGTGGATAGACGCTGACGTCGGAACCGGTGTCTATGAGGTTTAGTCTCCGCGGTCTGTGACGAATAAGCGGCAGAGTCTCGGGCTTGAGCCGTTTGCCGCTACCAACGGGTGCCCATCTAGTTTTCCGCTTCCTTTTTGAAGTTACACGGCTGTGTGCACTTCTTGGCTTTTTCTTTAAAACGCCGATGATAAAAGCACTTGCCTTCCTCTTCTGTCTTTCCCCTGGAGCGACTTCGAGAGCGTTCACGCCCTTTTCTTGGCGTGTGTGCACGCGAGAGTTGGCCTTTTAAGCTAGCCACTTGTTTCGTTAATTCTCGAATCTGCTGCTCCATGGTCGCTAGTTGAATACTGGCGACGGTCGTTGCTCTGCAGGAAACTTCGTGTATTTTGTCCGCCTGCTCTGCTACTTCGTCTAGCTTATCCGCGGATCTGGTAGCCAAGATTGCTTGAAGCTGTGATGGTAGTCTGCCCATCCACAGTGTTCTTAACAATTGCTCCGGGATGGCCGAGTTGGCTAGGGCTTGCAAGTGTCGCAGGAACTGAGAAGGCCTGCGATCGCCCATTTCCTCGTGTTCCAGTAGTTGGCGTATCTGTTGTTCTTGTGAAAGTGATAGCCGTTGTATCAGCGCCTTTTTGATGTTCTCGTATCTGTTGTGCTCAGGGGGCTTGGTGATCAAATCCTTGATCTCTTTCGCATGCTTCGTTTCTATGTGCGAAAGAACGTAAGCGTACTTAGTGGCGTCGGCCGTAATGCTGCCGAGGGTGAATTGTCCCTCTAATTGTGCGAACCGTAGCTCGGGTTCGTCTGCCCAGAAAGGCGGTATTTTCAGCGCCACACGGTGTATATGCCCGCTTCCCCCGGTTTGCGGGGGGTCTGGTGTGTCTGTCATAGTGCACTAAGAAAGATCACGTCGGGGTCACCACTTTTGTGGACGGGTACCGTTGAATAATGGTGTATCCACAAATTAAAAATATATTGTGATCTTTATTCAAACTTTGCTATGTACACTATGTACTATGTACAGAGGTACCTTTCGGTACTGTGAAGAATGCTTTATGGCGCCTTGCGGCGCGTGTACGTTGGGTGTAAGTGTATTTATATGCACTGGCGACGTCCGTGTCGGATCCCAACGGCTGTTTCCTCAACCTCAGGTTGACGCGTTTTGGTCCTCTTTCGGCCAGGTGTCCTAGGCAGCCTAGACTTCTGCGGCGTCCTTGGTAGCGGACTGATGCGTCCTTATAGTTCCTTCAGCTGCGGGCGGTGGCTAGCGGCAACGATGGCCACGTCTGTGTCGCTGCAAGGTCGTCGTCGTCGGAG